GAAACCCGGCGATAACAGGGCTGATATCATGCACGATGTAATGAAAATAGCTTCATGATACTTGCCGACAGCATAAACGTAGCTCAGCTTATTTGCTTTATGATAAGTCTCAGGCACTTTTAATCACTTCCCATACCCTATGACCCTTCGGTGTTTCGCAATAACTTGTTGCACAGGGCCCTATTAGCTCTCAAGTAGTGGCGTGCCTTCTCTAGTCATAGATGCTCGCGTGGCGTGTTTTGTACATACAACAGAAGTGCTCCACAACAGGTAAGTTAAGGGTAATGGCAGGCGTCGGTGATGTGCCTGGGGACTGCAATTGTTGATAGTAACATTATGACGCTGGACATTCGAACCCGATCAAAAACATGAGATATATCCGTTTTGTCGTCTTGCAAACTTACAGCAGTCATAAATAAAAAACCGACTTCTATTTAGTTACTTCCGTCCGTTACTGGACGTGCGCATGAATCCCATTTCACATTGTAGCGAGAGTGGTCGGCTCACGCCAACAGACTATTGGCGAGTGCCGTTCCCAATGATGAAAAAGAAGGCACGGAAGGGACGGGACGAAAAGCGTATTGCGGTACACGCTGTTCCCGTGTATTAGCTAAAAATACGACACCGAACGATGCAGCTAGCTAGGGAAGGATGTGAGGGACGGCGCGATGGAGCGGCGTGTTGAATCCAACCGTGGCGCCATGTGTATAGCGCGTGTGTGTGTTGAATCAGAAAACAAATGCAACGTACATATCATGATGCTACAAACAACCCCTAAATGTACAATAGGGTAATTTTAGTTTGTAGTTTACATAACATGCGCAGGCAATCAGGGGAAATCACCAGACTGCTACGCAGACCTCCCCAGAAGGAATTGTGTGAACAGTCCTTCGATCTACGTGAGGACTATTCGTCGAGGACCATCCTTCTGCGAGACCAGGTGGTGAAATCTGATGCAGCTGCTGGGGGAGAACCAGGCGATCGGGTCCTAGCGGGCTCCCATCCGTGTCCTCCTTAACGGTGTAGAAACGGTAAAATTGTTTGTAAAAACGGTTCCTATGGGGGTAGCAGTTCGACAGGAAATGTTCAATACACAAGTTGAGGCGTCCGACTCCAAGGTGAACGGGCGACAGAGTTGACAGGCGTTCATAGAAGGCAAACGGAAAAAAGCGGTGAGAACAGTGTATAGCAACAACATATGCTAAACTAAATTAACCAGAACAGATATTTTGGGGGTTTTCAAAAAGTTTTAATCGATTTTGTGACTTTTTCAAAACATTGTGCTAATTTTTATTATTTTCAAATGTGGTAATGAGGATTCAAGCACAAAAATGCACTGTCTGAACAAAACGACGAGGGCAATGTACCTGTGGGCCTGACTTAGTCGTCCTCGGTGCACTAGAGGACGTTGAAGCAATCTCAGCGGACGTTGTTGGACTGCTAGAACTGTAAGTTGCTGGCGGAGGAAAAGGCCTCTTTGGAGAGACATAATCGTTGTCGATATAGGCGAGTTTAAAGCGACTAATCGATACTGATTCACGCTTCACGTGGTGATCAATGACAAATACTTTGTCGTTCCGTTGGAGTGTTCCGAATGGTCCATCATATTGTGGAGCCTGGATCGCTTGACGCCGTCAACTAGTACGAACACGTGCGTACAAGTTTGAAGCTCCGCCGCTACGAAGGTTTTCTGGCTCTGGACACGGGTGTTGGTAGGTGCGAAACGATGCATGCGTGACGCGAGTTGCTTCCCAAAAGAAGCGTCGTAGACGATGGCGTCTGAAGCTGTAGAAAGATAGTCTTCAGGTAGAAGAAGTGGTTGACCGAAAAGTAGTTCGGCACCAGATACCCGCAAGTCGACTTTGAGACTAGCGCGTAAGCCTAACATGACAGTAGACAAAGCCTCTGTCAATTAAACAGGGTCGACTGCAGTGAGGCTGAATTTAGTTGACGGTGGGAACGTTCTACCATACCGTTCGATTGTGGAGGATAGGCGGTAGTAGGGGAATGTCTGCAGCCCAAAAGTTTTAGCGTCTCTTGGAATAGTGCACTCTCGAACTGTGGTCCTCTGACTGCCGTTACGCTTACTGGACAACCGTATAGAGAGACCCAGCGCCTCAGGAACGCTCGGATGATGTCATCCGTGCTGACATTTGACAGAGTAACGGCTTCTAGTCACCTGGTAAAGCGGTCGATTATTGTCAACAGGCAGAACATGCCGTTAGAGGGTGAAAGGGAACCGACTACATCCATGTTGGCCTGGGCGAGTCGAGAGCTGACTGTCGGAAAACGACCAATAGGTGCGGCTACGTGGCGTTGAACTTTCGACTGTTGGCAGCGAAGACATGCGCGGGTCCACTAACTAACGTCTCGGTTGATGTTGCGCCACACGAAACGCTGCGCGAAGAGCTTTATCAAGGCGCGAATGTCTAGATGTGGTAAATTGTGCGGTGTGGCGAATACAGTACGGCGAAAAACATATGGAAATATAGGACGCGGATAACTTTGCGAGACATCGTAAGCCGAACAACCTCCACGTGGTGCCAGCTGGATGGTTCGGGTTAATCTCGGTTTAGCTAATAGTTCGGCGGCAGTGTTCCAGGACGTGGTGGGCTTTCGCCTGGCAAGCATTCTCCCTATAAAAAGCCACAAATGTCTGCTTAACAACATTGTGCCTAGCCACTAAATAAAGGCACTGCCTCATACCATACCGCAGGGTCTTACCCATTTCGCGAACATCAGCCACTACAAAGATTACATCTGCTCCCTTCCTATATTGGTAAATCCACCGAACAAACCCACTCACACAACACATGTACCCATATATATATATATATATATATATATATATATATATATATATATATATCCACATACATATATCCATGCTGAGGCTGATGTTGCATTCATGATGCTTCTTCACCGCAGTTGGGCTAAACCAACTTACACTTAAACTAGGTCTTTTTGACGTGGATAAAAATCGTTACATTTTATTTGGTTTGTTCTGCGTACTTGATAATCTTCTCCCAACTTGCACACGTCGCTCATGCAAATTGTAGTAAACTTGCGTAATTGTATCGCGTGGTATTTTTTAAATAACTCGGACGTTTTGTACTTATCACGAATTCACTTATAATCAATTTCTTCTATATGCTCAATTAGCGAGTATTTATGTCGTCATATGCATTTACTTTATTCGATATCGGCATTTTGAGTGATTGACTGTTGTTTGACATCCTAGGTGTGGCTGCGCTTGATGTGCATGTTAACAAGGTGCCTACCTGTCTATTACCCACTACCTCATCCATACTGGCTCCAGGAGACAGTTGGTCGTTGCTGGAGGGGACGGGGTGCACGGTCCTTGTGGTCGTGGTTTCATGCAGTCAGAGTGGAGCGGACTACGGTCCAACCACCGCCTTGTGTGCACTTGATTCCCAAATACAGCGTGTTTGTGTTTGCCCGTGAAGAAGTGTGGGCCGGCTCTATTGATGAAATGTGGCTCCCATCCACATGCCTCCCGGTCTTATTCCTTCTGGTTTACACTGGATATGGGGTGTGTGGTGGAGCTGTGGGTGGTGCAGCGCAAGTCATCCATGGTCCCTCTGTAGGCGGAGGCGTCCTGTGGCTGGCCACAGTGACAGGCAAATCCGAAACCGGATGTCGCCAACCATATCCAGTATGAACTAGTTAACTTTTAACATTGCTGTAGAACTAATGATGTTATTCGTTTGTATTACCATGATCATGCCTTTGAAGGCGTGTCTCCAACCGTCAAAAATAAAGTATTTATTTATTTAGTTTAGAATCGTTCTTTCGGTAATTGGTAAAAGAATTGGTCGGACGCGGAGGGAGCTAGACGTTCGACTTTGATCAACTTCCGGATCAATCTGTTGTGCAGCGGCCATTGCTGCTAGATCGATGCTGCGACCAGGTGTAATTGAATTGACGCGAGACAAGGCGTCGGCGACAAAATTTTGCACGCCTGAGTCGTGCCGTATGTCTGACGTGAACTGTGAGACAGTCTAGGTGACGGATCTCTCTAGGAGAGTATTTATCGGATGATGAAGCTATCATGTAGACTAAAGGTTTCTGGTCGGTTAAAATTACGAAGTCCCTACCTTCAAGTGAAGATCAAAAGTAGCGAATGACTAAATAAACTGAGAGGAGTTCTCTTCCAAACGTGCTGTAACGAGTTTCGGCTGGTTGCAACCGTCTCGAAAAAATATCTAATGGTTGCAAAAATCCATTAATGAACTGCTGAAAGACTGCTCCTACCGCTTCGCTCGAAGCGTCTGTTACCAGAGAAAAGGAGCAATTGGTTGTGAATGCGTCAAAAGAGCAGTGTTTGCAAAGGCTATTTAAATTCTGCGAAAGATGATCGAGCAACATTAGTGAAGATGAAAGTAGGCTGATTGCCACGAAGCAGGTCATTTAGAGGCTGCATTATCTTTGCACATTTGGGGATGAAACGGCGGTAGTAATTTACTACGTCGAGAAAGGGTCTGAATTGTTTGAAAGATGAAGGATCAGGAAAATCTTTGATGACATCAACATTTTCGGGAAGTGCATCGATACCAGTGCAGAGATCCGATGACCCAGAAAATCAACTGGCGGTTTACCCAACTCGCACTTAGCGGAGTTAACGGTAACTCCACAGTCGCATAGAAGACGAAACAGCAGTTGCAGATGTTCTGCTTTGGAGGCGCTTAGTACAAAAATGTCGTCCAACTAAAGATATATGAAATCTTAGCCGCGTGTAACTTTATATACGAACATTTGGAAGGCTTGTGCGGCATTTCACAGGCTAAAAGGCATCCGCAGAAACTCGAATAGACCAAAAGGTGTACTGACGGCGGTCTTGAGGATATCGCATTCTTCGACGGGGATCTGGTGGTATGCTCTTGTTAGGTCGATTTTACGAAACACGGCCTTACCGCTTAAGCTGCTAGTAATATCATGGATGTGAAGAATAGGGTACTTGTCGGGGCAGGTGCACTTGTTCAGTGCTCGATAATCACCACACGGTCGCCAGTCTTCTTAGGCACCATGTGAAGGGGTGAAGCCCATTGATTTTCGGATGGGCGGATAATACAAATTTCGAGCATTTGCTCGAATTCCGGTTTGGCCACCTTTAATTTATCAGGGGCAAGATGTCGTGGTCGAGTGGAGACTGGTGAACCACGGGTTCGTATGTGGCGCGTTACGTCAGTTGCTACAGGAAGAATGGCGCTAGGGCGAATCAGATGTGGTAAATGCGTGATCAGTTCTGGAAAGTATTTGTCAGCTTGTGGCTGGGGATAAATGGAAGCGACAGTTTCGGATGACGTCTCGATTCCGCAAATAGAAAGACGTGTTTGTTTGTCAATTTGCTTTTGCTGATGAATATAGACCATTAGATCGAAATGATGCAGGAAATCGATTCTGGGGATGGCAAATAGTACAGCAGCCACTGTAAAAATGCAACGGAATTTACGTCTAAAATCAAGATCGATGATAAGGGAACGCTGGTCAAAACTTGCTATGGCTTTTCCGTTGGCTGCACGCCGCTTTGTCTACTCCTTTGTGCCTGGTGGGTTCACGCTGACTTCCGCCCTAGTGCCCACTAGGAACATGATCCCTGAGATCCTCTGGGCTATCTTGAATAAACGACCAGGTATTTTGAGTAGCGTAAGTCGCCAGTATTTGTCGATCAGTTTGTTCTAAGCCACCGTTGGTGGGCATCGGTTGACCGTTGCCTTTGGTCTTTATCAGACTGTGACTTTGATGTCGCCTATCAAGGCTTTGTTCAGCATGCTTCTTCTTGGTCGTTGTAAAAGTGCAAGGTTTAATGCAATTTCTAGCAGCGCTACCGAAACGCGTATGGTAACGGCATATACAGCGTCGTGTGGTACAAGGAGCGCGACTACGCGAACAGTGTGTGTCTCCACGCAGCTGCTGGTGCACACTTAAATGTTGAACTTCATCTTTTAGTGAGGCGATTTCATCCACAAGAGCTTGCGTTGAAGGCAGGTTGTTTGTGTTGTCGTTTAATGAAGCGACGGTTTGTACCCGGTGAGGCGCGTCAGCTGGCCGGGCGATGCTAGACGAAACGCTGTGTGGTCACTGTAACCCCCCAGTATGTTGTCTGCAAGTTCGGCGATTTATGACAATAGTTTAGACTTGGCGAGGCATAAGACAACCTGTACGTGCTCAGGTAAACGTTACAGCCATAGTTAGCGAAGCAACGATCCCATGCTCAAACCCCTTATGAGACGACGCATCTCCAGTAAGAGTGCCGACGGTTTCTTGCAAACCAGAAAAATAGTTGATGCAGTCGAGACCTGTCTGAAGGTGTACATCGTTTTATTACGGCCTCTTTCAGAGCGTTATAACGAGTAGTCGGGTCAAGTGTCACAATGAGATCCGCGAGTTGGACGGTGCGATTTAGGGGTAGGCGAGATAACAAGTTGTTGAACTTATCTAAAGCACGTGTGACACGTTTGTTAGCAAGTTCTGCTTCTAAGATGGCGAACCATAAAGCAGTGTCTATCACCATAAACGGAAGAACTACCAGTGACTGCATGAACAGTCTGTTCGTCCTCATTATATTTAGACACTGAGTCTAGGGTTCCGAAAATAATAATCACTTAATAAAAGTGGATGAAAAAGTGCCACGAACAAACCCAGAAAAAGTGGAACGGACTCACCAAAATAGCCGCAGATAATTCCAAACGGAATCTCCAACATAGTGGGGAATGATCCGGAAAGTCGTCCCCAATGTAGAGACGAAATTGGTTACTTCCAGACGATGATTCTTGTCAGGGTCACCAATGTAGCGATGATTCTTGTCGGGTCACCAATGTAGCGAGAGTGGCCGGCTCACGCTAACAATATTGGTGAGTACCATTCCCAATGATAGAAAAGAAGGAACGGAAGTGTATTGTGGTACACGTTGTTCCCGTGTATTAGCTAAAAATACGACACCGAACGATGCAGCTAGCTAGGGAAGGATGTGAGGGACGGCGCGATGGAGCGGCGTGTTGAATCCAACCGTGGCGCCATGTGTATAGCGCGTGTGTGTGTTGAATCAGAAAACAAATGCAACGTACATATCATGATGCTACAAACAACCCCTAAATGTACAATAGGGTAATTTTAGTTTGTAGTTTACATAACATGCGCAGGCAATCAGGGGAAATCACCAGACTGCTACGCAGACCTCCCCAGAAGGAATTGTGTGAACAGTCCTTCGATCTACGTGAGGACTATTCGTCGAGGACCATCCTTCTGCGAGACCAGGTGGTGAAATCTGATGCAGCTGCTGGGGGAGAACCAGGCGATCGGGTCCTAGCGGGCTCACATCCGTGTCCTCCTTAACAGTGTAGAAACGGTAAAATTGTTTGTAAAAACGGTTCCTATGGGGGTAGCAGTTCGACAGGAAATGTTCAATACACAAGTTGAGGCGTCCGACTCCAAGGTGAACGGGCGACAGAGTTGACAGGCGTTCATAGAAGGCAAACGGAAAAAAGCGGTGAGAACAGTGTATAGCAACAACATATGCTAAACTAAATTAACCAGAACAGATATTTTGGGGGTTTTCAAAAAGTTTTAATCGATTTTGTGACTTTTTCAAAACATTGTGCTAATTTTTATTATTTTCAAATGTGGTAATGAGGATTCAAGCACAAAAATGCACTGTCTGAACAAAACGACGAGGGCAATGTACCTGTGGGCCTGACTTAGTCGTCCTCGGTGCACTAGAGGACGTTGAAGCAATCTCAGCGGACGTTGTTGGACTGCTAGAACTGTAAGTTGCTGGCGGAGGAAAAGGCCTCTTTGGAGAGACATAATCGTTGTCGATATAGGCGAGTTTAAAGCGACTAATCGATACTGATTCACGCTTCACGTGGTGATCAATGACAATGTCGTTCCGTTGGAGTGTTCCGAATGGTCCATCATATTGTGGAGCCTGGATCGCTTGACGCCGTCAACTAGTACGAACACGTGCGTACAAGTTTGAAGCTCCGCCGCTACGAAGGTTTTCTGGCTCTGGACACGGGTGTTGGTAGGTGCGAAACGATGCATGCGTGACGCGAGTTGCTTCCCAAAAGAAGCGTCGTAGACGATGGCGTCTGAAGCTGTAGAAAGATAGTCTTCAGGTAGAAGAAGTGGTTGACCGAAAAGTAGTTCGGCACTAGATACCCGCAAGTCGACTTTGAGACTAGCGCGTAAGCCTAACATGACAGTAGACAAAGCCTCTGTCAATTAAACAGGGTCGACTGCAGTGAGGCTGAATTTAGTTGACGGTGGGAACGTTCTACCATACCGTTCGATTGTGGAGGATAGGCGGTAGTAGGGGAATGTCTGCAGCCCAAAAGTTTTAGCGTCTCTTGGAATAGTGCACTCTCGAACTGTGGTCCTCTGACTGCCGTTACGCTTACTGGACAACCGTATAGAGAGACCCAGCGCCTCAGGAACGCTCGGATGATGTCATCCGTGCTGACATTTGACAGAGTAACGGCTTCTAGTCACCTGGTAAAGCGGTCGATTATTGTCAACAGGCAGAACATGCCGTTAGAGGGTGAAAGGGAACCGACTACATCCATGTTGGCCTGGGCGAGTCGAGAGCTGACTGTCGGAAAACGACCAATAGGTGCGGCTACGTGGCGTTGAACTTTCGACTGTTGGCAGCGAAGACATGCGCGGGTCCACTAACTAACGTCTCGGTTGATGTTGCGCCACACGAAACGCTGCGCGAAGAGCTTTATCAAGGCGCGAATGTCTAGATGTGGTAAATTGTGCGGTGTGGCGAATACAGTACGGCGAAAAACATATGGAAATATAGGACGCGGATAACTTTGCGAGACATCGTAAGCCGAACAACCTCCACGTGGTGCCAGCTGGATGGTTCGGGTTAATCTCGGTTTAGCTAATAGTTCGGCGGCAGTGTTCCAGGACGTGGTGGGCTTTCGCCTGGCAAGCATTCTCCCTATAAAAAGCCACAAATGTCTGCTTAACAACATTGTGCCTAGCCACTAAATAAAGGCACTGCCTCATACCATACCGCAGGGTCTTACCCATTTCGCGAACATCAGCCACTACAAAGATTACATCTGCTCCCTTCCTATATTGGTAAATCCACCGAACAAACCCACTCACACAACACATGTACCCATATATATATATATCCATGCTGAGGCTGATGTTGCATTCATGATGCTTCTTCACCGCAGTTGGGCTAAACCAACTTACACTTAAACTAGGTCTTTTTGACGTGGATAAAAATCGTTACATTTTATTTGGTTTGTTCTGCGTACTTGATAATCTTCTCCCAACTTGCACACGTCGCTCATGCAAATTGTAGTAAACTTGCGTAATTGTATCGCGTGGTATTTTTTAAATAAATCGGACGTTTTGTACTTATCACGAATTCACTTATAATCAATTTCTTCTATATGCTCAATTAGCGAGTATTTATGTCGTCATATGCATTTACTTTATTCGATATCGGCATTTTGAGTGATTGACTGTTGTTTGACATCCTAGGTGTGGCTGCGCTTGATGTGCATGTTAACAAGGTGCCTACCTGTCTATTACCCACTACCTCATCCATACTGGCTCCAGGAGACAGTTGGTCGTTGCTGGAGGGGACGGGGTGCACGGTCCTTGTGGTCGTGGTTTCATGCAGTCAGAGTGGAGCGGACTACGGTCCAACCACCGCCTTGTGTGCACTTGATTCCCAAATACAGCGTGTTTGTGTTTGCCCGTGAAGAAGTGTGGGCCGGCTCTATTGATGAAATGTGGCTCCCATCCACATGCCTCCCGGTCTTATTCCTTCTGGTTTACACTGGATATGGGGTGTGTGGTGGAGCTGTGGGTGGTGCAGCGCAAGTCATCCATGGTCCCTCTGTAGGCGGAGGCGTCCTGTGGCTGGCCACAGTGACAGGCAAATCCGAAACCGGATGTCGCCAACCATATCCAGTATGAACTAGTTAACTTTTAACATTGCTGTAGAACTAATGATGTTATTCGTTTGTATTACCATGATCATGCCTTTGAAGGCGTGTCTCCAACCGTCAAAAATAAAGTATTTATTTATTTAGTTTAGAATCGTTCTTTCGGTAATTGGTAAAAGAATTGGTCGGACGCGGAGGGAGCTAGACGTTCGACTTTGATCAACTTCCGGATCAATCTGTTGTGCAGCGGCCATTGCTGCTAGATCGATGCTGCGACCAGGTGTAATTGAATTGACGCGAGACAAGGCGTCGGCGACAAAATTTTGCACACCTGAGAGGTGTCGTATTTCTGACGTAAACTGTGAGACATTGTCTAGGTCTCGCCCCTCTCTAGGACAGTATTTATCGAATGATGAAGCTATCATGTAGACTAAAGGTTTGTGGTCAGAGAAAATTAC